AAGGAGTGTTGGAGTTTCATACTATGGTTAAGTTTCCTAAATCTTGTAGAAACTCCCAAGATTTCATATTCATCTAAGGATTATGCTTTCCTATGCTCAATATTCTATTCTATAAAAAAAATGTGTGTTAACCTAATAGTTTCACTAGATTTTTTGTCAAAATCTCTAGATCATGATTATTTTAACAAAAAAATTAGTGGCATTGTAAGTAAAATAAGGGAAAAAGTGTAACACATCAACTAATTTTTATTACAACACAACACATCAACATGGATTTATTAAAACCATAAACAAAATACAAATTCAAAATAGTCAATATTTAGTTACAACTCACACTCACAAATATAGAACAAAGGGTTATAATTCTATAATTATTTGTAAGAAAATGAGAGAAAAGAAAACACCAATGATGAGAAGCTCACAAGATCCTCATGTTTTGTCAAATTGCTCATTCCAAAAGGTGCTTCTTAATTCCCTTTTCATTCACTACATTCTCACCAAATCACTCTTCTCACACACACTTTCACTCCACACACTTATACCACTCACACACCCCTGCAAAAAAACTTCTCTTGCTCTTACAAATTGCCCTGTTTATAGAGTTTCCTCTCAAATTGCTGAAGAAGTTGTCAAGGCTACAAGGGAAACCACCTATGGTTGGGAGGTAGCACCGCGACGACATAATGTAGCATCATAGCACTGCTATGGCCATAGAGGAGTTGGCTTTCAACATGGTGGTGCCAAGCTCTTGGGTTTTTTTATCAATCTTTTACAAGTTCTGGCACTACAAAATTGTAAGCATGGCACTTAGATGTTGAAAGACTTGCATTGGGGCACTGAATGATGGTGCATGGGTGCCAAATTCTCAAAATTGTTCTCTTTTTTTTGCACACCATAGTGTTGTGGAACTCTTGCTATAGTATTGAGATGCTAAAAGTGTAACATTAGGGTGCCACATGCTATTTTTGCTTTTCTTCAAGTTGACTTATCATGTTGCATTTCTACCATAAATCATAAATAAATATCATAGAAACATATGAAATAGAACAAATATGCACTATAAATAGACCTAACTTAAGATACTTTTAAACATTTATCATTGACCCGCCTCTATTTCTCAACGACGTAAGAAGAAGTCCTCATCTTGATTATTATAAGCTCGTTGGTGTCTTTCTTTTGGAAGACTACCTCCATAGTTGATATAGAGTACATGTAAGGGAATGACAACTTACTTAATGTGGTGAGCTCTTCCCCTCTTATCTTAGCTCCATCATGCTAAGAATGTAAACAAGACTCATTTTGGAGAAGTTTGCCTTGAAGTTGAACTAAGAGAATCAATATTAGCTCAACTTGTTACGCACCTCACCAGCAATGACTTAGTCCACGGTGACTTCAATCTCCAATAATGGATCAACATAAAACAGACTCTTAAGGAGAAGATGAATGACTAAAACACTAAAACATGGGGAACTTGCCTCATCACATTAAGTAAAAAAAAACATACGAACAAATAATTAGATAGTTGAATTACAAGCAAAAGTTCTCACTGCAAAACTAAACTCTATGAAGGAGTTCACTTATAAATCCACCTTCTTCATTGAAGCATAATTCTCATCATTCGAAGTCATCACCATCACAATTTTTTCTAGCGAAGATGGTTGAGGCTAAGTCATATATGCCCAACTGTTCTTGCATGAGACATAAATGTACTTCTTCTAGTCTTTAATTTTACTCTCCAGGCTAGATAGTTTGATCTCAATCCTTTTATACACCTTAAGGGTGAAGAGGCAGATGAATAACCCAATAGACCAAGAATTTTTTATCTTCCTCATATATAATATCAAGGTGATGATACCCACTGCGAGTTTGACAAGACCTATAGTTCGATGATGCCATAAAGTTTGAAGATGTTGATCGATTCTCAGCAGAGAAAATGGTGTAGCCCCTATCTACATTGTTCATAATTTAAAAGGAATTTACCTTAATTTATGGTGTTTGGGAACTTTCTTTTCTTTTCCTCATGATGTTCGATCAACGAGTCTAACCTAAACTTATTCTACGCCAAATCTTTCTCCTCATCGGGTATTTGGATTGTTCGGATAACTCAGAATCCAAATATGTTTTGTTGTTGGCGAGAAGTGTGCTAGCCATCACAAATTAAGAAAAAGAGAATAGTGAGCTAGAGATTGATGGTGAACTAAAGGTTTTTTACAAGGGACAAATGAGTTTCTATGAACTTTTGCAATGCAAAAGGAAAATCAATCCAAGGGTGAAAATGTTAAAATACATCTTTATATTTTGAATTTTACGCCAATATAATATAGGAAAATTAAAGCTATCAAATTAATATCAACTGAGAAATCAAATAAAATATTTATTTATTCATAAAGTCCTTTTATCATTACAACTAATATAAAAAAACTCGCTAATTCCACTATGGGCGGATGCTCTAACTCACATGAAAGAAAAAAAACGTTTGAAATAGGGATCTGAGGTAGCTTCTAAAAGAATTTGAATAATTTCAAATGAGTTGCTTTAACACGAATTCACCGCCCACCTTAAACTGGGTTGAGTGGATAAATTCCACAAATCTTTGAAGTAAGAGGACTTGTTGTTCAAGTTGGCCATCTCCTTCTTTAGCTTTTCTCATGTGTCTTTTAATTTGGTCATTTAGGCCTTCAATATGACTAATTGTTCTTGAGTTCAGCCTGGCCATCCACAGTAGACAAACTTAGATCGTTTAATCCTACGGCGAACTCCTCTATTCTCCTTACCTCCTTGGTGTATAAATCTGTTTGCAATGGCACAAAGATCGATGTTAGGGGAATAACCATAACTTTCTGGAGAAAAAATCATGTCAAGGAAGTGATAAGGCATCAAGACTTCACCTCACCAAACATCAAGAACATGTAATGAGAGAAATACCTTTGGATGGCTAGTTCTCACACATAATCATAAAATCAAGCTCTTTCGGTTGATGGTGAGGCAATTTATTTGAGAGTTCGCTGCTCGACTTCCTCCTTGAAGGATCAATTTGCCCCTCTATAAAGGTGTGTGCTTCATTCAAATTCAGCCCACCCACTTTATCCCTTTTAGTGTGCTGGTCTCGCTTAACTTGAAATAGGCTGTAAAAAAAAATTATAAGTTTATTATAATCATTAATGCTCATCTCTATAAGTTTTTGTAAATCTTTCTTATCTCTTCTAACTCGTACATGATTTGTGAAAGCATAGACAAGCTACCCACCCCCTTCAGCTCGCCAAAAGATGAATTCAAAATTTGTAGCTCTTTCATAGGAACTACTGACACAGCCTTTCATAGGAATAAATAGATCAACAGCCTAAGTCTTCAATGGGCTTCTCTCGAGGAACTACCATCCATTCCTTTGAAGCATCAAATTTCTTCTTCTTTTCTAGAGCTCACATTCCCTTTTGTTTCATTTTATGAACAACCCCTCGATGAGTTTGGACATCGAGATGGTGACCTTCTTTTTCAATATATTATCCATCAAAAAAAAAGTGAAGCCTAAAAGGAGAAAACTAACTCAGTGAAGAAGAGAAAGACTCAAAGAGTAAAAGTGATCCAACGATCACCCCTCACTCTTTATTTATAGAGATATGACTGGCAAAACTTAAGAGGGTTTTATAAAAATCATATAATTTTTTTGATATTTATTTTGTATATCAATATAGACTTTAATTTTCTTTTCCTTTCAGCAGTTTTATCGTCAAACGAATAAGCAAATCGAAGAACTAAATATATATACACAAAATCCCTAGGACTTGATTCAAGGTGTGAAGTTAGACGGCTCATAAGATCTTCGATTATCTTATTCAACAAATATTTTCTATATCTTTCTTTGATAGTGTGAATCCACAAATAAATGAAGATTCAACAAATACAAATAATTTAAATTGCAGAGATATTATTTATTTATTTTGTTTCATTTCTGTATAACAAGAAAATGCATACAAAATAGTACAATCATGCAGTTCTAATTTGCCCATAATATGATCCATCTACTGTTATTTCTAAGAGATAATTATACACCAACCACTCAATTGCTGTATATTAACATATCAACCCCTTAAAACTTAAAATTTTACATCCAGACCACTACAAGTGTCTTTTCAATAAAAAAGTACGAATCATACATTAGAAGTACATTATAAAAACTTATTGGCCACTGACGCTTAAATTGCACATATATGTCCACTAATAACAGATTAAAAAATCTAACAAATTCTTCACTAAATTCATTCTCATTAGAAATTATAAATTCATCACAACCCAAACAAGCCTAGAACATGCGTTCAGTTTGATTTAGAACACATTAAATGAACTCGCTTCTATAACCTCTATGTACCTTATAATAAATTCCACGCTTCTATTTTCAAATATTTGTAGGTTACAGGTAGATTACAAAGAACATAACGCAGATATAACCCCCAACATCCTCTGCATAACAGTGACGTATGCAGCGTTGCGTACGTCTTACGTACGCAAATTTTTCTCTTTAGATATGCCATTTTCTAGAAGTGATGTTTAGCAAGAAAAAATGGACATATACGCACCCGAAATCTGCACTAATCTCGACACAAATCCAAAGATTCAAAGCCCATTCCGCCGCAATACTTCCCCCCTCGCGAAAACAAGTTTTGTAATTTTCAACGGTGACCAGCAAAGATTTTAGTTTAAAAGAAAATAAGAAAGATTTACATACACACCACTCAATCGGTACATGCGAGCCACCTTTCCTATGCATGAAAAGTTTATTCCACCAGATAAAAATTAAAATGATGGCATTTTTTATGTGATATGAAAGCTTTGGGTGGTATAAATCTAAAAAAGTAAAGTCTAGGTGTTCCATACGTAAATATACATCAATTGGGTGGTCTGTATGTAAATGCCCAAGAAAAAAAAACAAGAATAGCAATCCAACAACACAACTTAGAATACCAACCAGGCCATCAAGTAGAACTAAATTACACAATATGAGATACTCCAAACACTTCTATAATCTTTGATTTTAATTCTAATTACAAAGATGCAAAATTAACACTCACATTTTATAGAGCAAACCGGAACCACAAGCAGAACTTATTACAGTTTTGACAAATAATATCATCACATTTCATTCATGTAGGTAATCCAGATCAGCTTGTCAGGAAAACTGCCTCAGGAGTTTTGTTACTTGAGATTTGTGGTCTAGGAATAGATGGGATGAATCCTCTTTCCATGAACATCATTACATTCCATATGGTCTACTGTATAGATAATTAGAACTCGATAACCTGAAACTATGTTCCTCTTTCCCAGGAATAATATAACTATCATGTCCAAATCTCTCATTTTGAACAATTTCAGTCATCCCCATTTCCCTGTCATTCAATACATTCCACAAATCGCGCGACTGGTTATTTAAGATGGTTGAAGTTCTTAATTGGGGCTGTGTGAATGGCAAATGGCTTGGGTTGTGGAACTGCGCAGGAAATCTAGAAGAGAAATATACATCATTCATGGTTGACAATCCACCTACTATATTATTATTATTAGAAAATCTTTGGTCTTTAAAAGCTGAGATAGAATACTGCATCAATGGCTGTATATTATTGCTTTCTGTAGTGCGAAACTGTGAAGCGGCGTTAGAAGTCAAACCGAAACCTGAATCATTAGCTTCGAGAGGGAGTAAGTTTTTTCCCACTGCTAGTATTGCAGGATCAATAAACTCGACATCACCGGCATTCAAATTGAATGGATTTGGTGTACTGCCCTGAAATAGATTCTCTACAAAGAAAAACATAAATGAATTGATGAGTCCAGGCATGCATACCAAAATTTGTAGTGTTAGACTACGTGAAAGAATGAAACCTGAAGTCGCCGACTTATGACTGTTTTCATATCTTTCTTGCGAGGAAAATCCCGGAGGTGGTCCTTTGTTTGGTACTGAAAATCCAGGGGGTGCTGGCATTTTAGGCCTCGGCGTGCCTACGATGAACAGAAAGACAGAAAAATGAGATATGTTGAGGAATTAGCATAAAAAAGATGGAAGTGCGGTAACATGAACTTCTAATAAACAATGAGGGCAGGGGTTCAAGGAATTAGACTTGATATATTTAAAATAACACACAAATGATGAACAGCTAGAGCATTGTTATTTGATATACAGAAATTTATGTTAGCGGAAACAAAAACAACAATAATAGCCCAAGACTATCGCTGGCCTTCCATTGGGTATAGCTCATTAAGTCTTCTTTGTTTAGAGCCGCAATAAGAAACAAATCCAGTTTGCAGAAGCTGCTGAGAAATCTGCATGTTTATTCTCACTGAAAGTTGAATTATCAAGCTATAATTTGAGCAATATTAATTTGATACTGTTAGTTTGTTTAATTTGTTATTTATTTGATTCTATCAGTAGGTTTATATTGTTTTTTTTTTTTAATTCAGTAGTTGTGGTTTAGACAAATTAATGATCATAATCTTTATATGAGTAGTACTTTCTAATTCTAATATTTATGTTTGGTTTCAATGGTTTCTGTTAACATTCTGACTTATGGTATCTGGATTGATACTCATGGGGCAGTCAGTGGTTTCGTGTGATGCTATAGTTGGGCTTCAAATGGTATGCGCAGCTTGATTATGAACAAAACTGAATTTATTGCTAGCAAGAGATCCATGCTGGAGACCAAGCAAAGCAAGTTTGGTAGCACAAAGAAGCTAATGATGTCATTACAGTAACATATAATCATACTGAACTTTAACTGTTGCGTACTGGAAGGAGACTTTAGTAACCATACCAATTACCACTATAGAACCCATAAAAATAAAAATTTCAATCAGATGACCTACAAAAGAGTCTTTTAGTTAAATCAATGCTTTGAAAGCATTAAACACAATGCAATGTGCAAGAGGCTATTTACACATAAAAACAGATATATATATATATATATATATAGTGCCACAAGCCTTAGCCTGCTGGTGGCGGGGTCACTATAAGTCCCCTCAGGTCAAGGGTTTGATCCCACCGTGGCGCGGGGGCTTTGAAATGTTAGGCACATGGCGCGGACTCTCATCCTGGAGCCAAAACACACATGAAAAATTGATATTTAGGCTTCTAACAAATATAGATTTTCTTTTTAATATATATATATATTTATAGCGCGGGCTCTCATCCTAGAGCCAAAAAGCACATAAAAAATTGATATTTGGACCTCTGCTAAATATCGATTTCCTTTTTAATATATATATAAACATAAAGAATCCACCTCCTAAGACAATTATTTAAAATCACTGTATGAACGATTAAACTGAGAGTTAAAAATTTCCTTTGCTTTAACCAAACTAATCCTGACAGTTCTAAAATATAGTTGAAACCGAAGCTTTGACTATAAGCTATGTGGTATCCTTAAAAAAATAAATTTACAAGGAAAAAAAAAACAAATTATATTTACTTTAGGAAGATGGAAATCCAAATCAAATCAAACATTCTACAATAAAAAAAAAAACTTATCTGCAGTTAAATATATATCAAAATTTCAAGATGATTAATTAACCAAAAAATCTTCATATTGATTGCACTGATATTGAATATTTCATTAAAAAAAGGCATTAAAATTTTAGCATCAAAATCAATATTCACCAAGCTCAATTATTTATATTTGATTTTGATATTGATTCAAAATAACTTTTTGCCTGGTTTTCTAACCTGAAACGTTTTTTAGGGAGGTCCACCCAAAAGGGGAAGCCCCAATAGCACTCCCTAGTGCAGAAATAGATGCAGAGGAATCGCTTCACAAGGTGGTAAGCTATCCTCATAAAGGTCAAATTGATCTATGTGATTACACTTATGGTAAGCTATCCTCATAAAGGTCAAATAATCTTAATTCAATACATTCAAACAACTGAATTTACAATACTTGACACAGTTCAACAATACATTTATTCAGTCCTATTAATCCTCAATTTCAAAGAAAGTTTCAAGTGTTCTTTAGGTTTTAGCCACATCGAGTGCGTTCAGGACTTCCAGAGTTCCAGGTGATGCTTTGTCGGGCTCATTGCTTCTTTTCTTTTTTACGGAAGTTGAACGCGTAGATAAATATAAAAATCCTCAAGTTGCATAAAGTAGATGCACAATAATAAATAAGACAATTAGAAGAAAAAGAAGAAGAGTCGTGAGATCAACAAAACCACCATCATAGCTCTACCCTTCCTGCATCAAATCAAAACTATCAGCCAACATAACTCTAGCAACCAAACCATTGCAAACATGAATGTTATCTAAAAGCCAATATCAGATAAGAATGAATTGAAAAAAACATTGAAATTATCACCTTTAATCTTTAAAATATTTATCTACAATCACAATTCTTAAGCTTTCACATAACATAAGTTTGGTGTATCACAAACTCTGTGAAGCACAATTATTGGGTAAATCAATTGTTTTTAACACTACACATAATAACTTTTTTATTAGTACAAAAGCTTCAAGTCGTTCCTTAATTTTCATGGATCTCTCGAGCCCTGGTGATGAAGCTTTTGATATAAAAAAAAAAAAAAAAAAAAACTCAATCGTTCTCTTCAAAAGCTTAGAGCATCAATGACAAATTAGGTTTAAAACACCAAAGTACTATGTATGAAAATTTCTCATAAATAAAAAGAAACAAAAAACACGGATAAATACCTTATTACAAAATAAAATAAAAATTGTTCCACTTATAATGTTGATAACCACCAAATTGCAACCATCATAGCTCTGCCCTTTTTGCACCAAATCAAGGCTATCAGTCAGCATTAACTCCAACAGCCAAACCATTGTAAACACCTGTCTCATTCAGGCTCTAATTCCACGAAGAAAAAAGTAATTGCACTCAAGCCTGTTGCAGACTTGCAGTAGCCATGACAAGAGTAATCCAAGTAACGGTAAAAAATTGAAACTTTGTTGATATCAACTTTCCTCTAATTCTGCATATACATGAATACAAACAAATTGCAATATAACAAATCTCTGATTCATGACTAATACTTTAATAATACTTCACCAGTGGTATCAAAGTGGTATCATCATCAAATTGTGCAGAACTAAAGAGAGTGCTCAAGAACATCTTCCTTATTAGATATAATATATTTATTAAATATAACATCAAAGGTGTGCAGAAGGCTAGTTCCAACATCCCCAAATACCACCCCAAGAGTATGAATAACAAGTATAACGTTCCTACCCAAACTGAATTCCTACAAATAAGTGAAATGGGTACAAGAAAACTGCCAACAGCTAAAAACACACTCAATGAACTGAATTTCAAATAAAAAGAACTACGATGGCTTCCTATTTTGAGATAGAAAAATAATTCTTCATTGGTTCTACTTGATTGAAATACAGTTGGCATGGGCCGCAGGGCAAGCCGTCAACAAATAAAAAAACTTGTGAATGGTTAGTCCTCACTGTCCTACTATACATACCACATAATTCCCATGTAGTTACATATCTAAAAACCAAATATTCCTATTTACATCTGTAACACACATTGCTTTAAAATTTCATAGAAAATGTCACTATCACTAACCTTTTTAGAAGTGACAAAGTATTCATCTGCATTATCAATAGAATAATTCGCTCAAAAAGGATTTAGAAAAATTCACGTTCTCATAATAATCTACAGCCCTCCTTCCAACACTAAAACAAATCTTTTTGCTTCTCATAAACATCAGATTCTTATAAAAAGCTCATTGTACCAAATTACCAAAGCGAGTCACCACGAAGTAAAACCAAAAATGAAAATGGCGAGTTGAGCCAACAACCAAAACAGTTAAAGGTAGAGAAATAAAAATAAATAAATGAAAATGAAATTGAGCTCAAAACTAACCTGAAAAAAGTACATTAAAATCCATTCTAGATAATATAAATATTTTTCATCAAGTACTTAAAGATATAGTTAAATTTTAATGAAAATATTGGAAATCATCATTGCTCAAATATAAATGCACCATCAAAAAGAAAAGATCTAGACGTATCTGAATAAATCAACATATCTGACATTATTAGCATTAAAAATTTAAAGTTTAAATGTATCTTTAGTTGAATATTAAAATAATAGCATGTGTTTAAAGTTCAAAGTTACAATTATAATATAAATTCTTAGAAATGGAAGGTCTTTTATAGAGTAAACATGACTAAGTTGGTTTCATATGTGTGGTAGTTGAATATTTGGTTTTCCTCACTAAGGATCTCTTACTGAAAAGAAATAATAAAATAAATATTATATCTAGTATTGAGAATAAATAAAATACACTAGAAAGTAAAAAATAGTATACTTAATTAAAATGATTACCATAAGCTTCTTTGCAATTTTTTAAGCTGATCGAATCCAACTTGATGCACAAATCAATGCATTAACGGTTTTAGTGGATAAACAACATTTGTAATCATCCAACACCCTACCGCCAATACTAAAAATAGATTTTGAGACAACCGTGGTTACATGTATTGATAGAATATCTCGAGCAATAATTGACAGTCAGGGATACTTTAATGTATTCATCTTCCACCAATCAAGCACATCAAAGTTCTCATTCGAGCACACAAATAATCTCACCTCAAAAAATACTTGCAAATCAGATTTCGATGTATCCATAGCTCCAGAAGCTACAACAAAATCTTGAAACCCAAACAGAGCGTCAAAAAGATTTGAGGAACTCATACGATCAACTGCAGACGAAAACCCCTCATTTGAAACATTGCAATTAACAACATAAACAATATATATTTTCCACAAGGCATCTTGAATTATTTTAAGATTTTGTTAAATCTCATCATGCGAGTATATCTTCGACAATGTGTAGCTAATAAATTTGAGTTTCAATCTAGGATCCAAAATTGTTGCAATAGATATTAGAATATTATATTTCCCCCAATATTTGTTGAATTTGATTTGTATACTCATAGTCATATTTCTCATATAATCATCTTATGACAATGATTCTTCTATTAA